CAGATCCCGAATTTCTGGAATTACCCAAGTATAAGCTTGACATTTAGTAAAAGATTACACAAATCATTAGGTTTGGAAAAATACAACGCTCTCTCATTTCTAGTTGCAGTTCTTTGGTCTTTCGCAATTCACAAATATTTCAAGAAGTTGTACATTAGGAAATCAATTAGAAAAAGAACCTCTCTTTGAAAACTCCGAACAGCATTACTGACCTGCTCAGGGTAGCAGTTTGTATTGCATACTGCGTGATCCATCATGAATCTGTGACCATACAAGAATGGAAGAAAGATACACCAGTGCACAAAATGACAGAGGTGACCGCTCCTACCAAGCAGTGCTTAAGTTGGACGTTGTCAATTCTCAAAATTTAGTTGTCAACGTTTCGTCTGAGTTCAGGAGTAGGTCTGATGTGTTTTTCTCAAAGGATACTTGTCATAGTATGCTGCTTTGCATTCATTGTTGTTCAAATGCGTTTGTGTATACACAGGTTTTTTGTATATTTCCAAAATCCAGTTTGTAAAAAAAGGAAAGCACTTGAGAGGTCTTTTTTTTTAAGTTGCATGTAAAGCAAAATTCGAAGTAGTTAAACTGTGGCATTGTTTTGTCATCTTCAGCCGGTATTTAGGTCACATGCACTTGTTACTTTTTACGGTTGAGGCTTACCTGTCATACTGCATTGACACGTTCAATCCTCATGACTTTCAGAATTTGTTAATTAATGTTTCTAGGCAGCTTTTTGTATTTTTTTTTTCATTTTTTGAGAATCAAGCGCTTTTGCTTGCATGCTCTATTTTTTGTACTTATGTATATCTAATTTATCTTTATTCGTTTCAAAGAGGAATGTACTCTTTTCGAGTACGTAGCTTTTCTCACCTTTATTTGTCCCTCATCAAATTAATAGTACTCAGAAATATATATCTGTATATGTTTTAGTGTGTGCATGCATCTGCTTCTGATCCTTTCTGGATGATTTATATATATGTATACATGTATGCCTTGAAATCTGTGACCTCTGGTGCTACGGATGTCAGAATGTCAAGTCCTTACTTAGCAATTCTAAGTGTATATTCTATAGTTTGGAAGAGAAAGTCTATTAAAGAAAAAAGTCGCCGCTGCTGTGCTGTAGCCAAGGGATCATATCAAGTGTAGAGCTTGTAGTTTGAATTGAAATGTAAACACTTTCAATTTGCTGAGGGAAAATTGCTATAACCACATTGTCAGAGTCCCCAAGTCAACCACTGTGAGCCAGTTTTAGTATTTTAGTAGTGCATAAACTTGGCCATGTCAGCACACCACACTGATTCATGCACTGAACTGGCGCGATGTCAGGTTTTTATTACAAACATCAAACTGGTTCATAATGACATTAACAGGTGTTTGCTGTTCAAGTGTATTTCAGAGAAGTATTATGGAATGTCAGAAAGGTTTGGCAATTTATGTATACAAGGGTGAATATACATTAAAATGGCACAATATATTTTTTGCTTACTGGTAAAATTTGAGTTAGGAATCAATAAGCCTAAGAGACTGCAGTCTTTTAAGTCATAAATATTTCTCTCAGGTACATGTTTGAAATGCGATGGGATAAAGGTAATTACCATTTTGTAGTCTTTCCTTTTGTATTTTTTTTATTTCTATCTGTGTAGATACTATATTAATCTCTTGATGCAATATACCGTAAGAGATGTACTTGACAGAAAATGTAAAACTAAATATCTGGTTTCCTACTAATAAAAAGAACTCTTTTGAAGGAAAAAGAATACCAGTGTCAGAACTGTCCTGCGTCTTACCTGCTTGTTAAAATTTTCTCCAAACCAGTTTATCTTTCTTGACCTAATCAAACATATTAAAAAGGGAAACGGGTATGCCTTACATTTTCATTAAAATATATACCTAAATCAGTTTTACTCTTGACCAAAATGTAAAAATAGAATGGTTTATCCTTGCACTTTAATTAAAACAAGTAAAAGTTGAAATTTCTCCAAATTTCAATTTTGTCATTTTTCACAAAACCCTTTAGGTCACAAATGGGTCAAAACCTAATTTTCTGGAAATCTTAGTTTTGTCTTTCTGCCGAAATTATAAAATTTTAAGGCGTTAGCCTTGTATTTTAATGAAAATTGGTCAAAATCCGATTTTTCTACAAATGTAAATTTTGTTATTTTTGATCAAAATTAAATGAAACTACAAGGGGTTAGCCTTCCATTTGAATGGACATGGGTCAAAATTTCGTTTTTCCAGAAATCTGAATTTTGTCATTTTTAGCCGAAATTCAATTGCATTTCTTTACAAATGGGTCAAAATTTCATTTTTCCCCCAAGTATAAATTTTTTCATTTTTTGGCAAAATTCAATGAAATCACAAGGGGTTAACCTTGCATTTCCTTAAAAAATGAGTCAAAATTTCATTTTTCTCCAAATGTGAATTAATAATTTTTGGCCAAACTTCAATAAAATTACAAGGGGTTAACCTTGCATTTTCTTCAAAAATGGGTCAAAATTTCGTTTTTCTCCAAATGTGAATTTTGTCATTTTTGGCCAAAATTCAATAAAATTACAAGGGGTTAGCCTTGCATTTTCTTAAAAAATGGGTCAAAATTTCATTTTTCTCCAATTGAGAATTTCGTCATTTTTGGCAAAATTCAATGAAATTACAAGGGGTTAGCCTTGAATTTTTTTTTAAAAAATGGGTCAAAATTTCATTTTTCTCCAA